AAAAAAAAAAGCTGGAAGTGGCACTGTGGCTCTAGTGGTAGAGTGCTAGCCTTGAGCTGAAGAGCTGAGGGACAGCGCCCAGGCCCAGAGTTCAGGCCCCATGACCGGACCAAAAAAAAAAAAAGTAAAATTATTCATTTGAAACCTGAATTGGAGTACTATTTTGTAGATTAAAGTGTAATATACTAATTATACTGATTAAAGAGTAATGTACTAATTAACCAGGTACTCTATTTGTGGAAATACTTTGGTTCCTTAGTTCAAATTATTACAAATTCTAAAAATTAGTGTATTCAATGATACCAGAATTGATCTTTTATACAGTCAGCTTTCACAGTTACTTTTTATTGTGACCATTTCCAGTTTTTATAGTCACCATTTATGGTTTGGTTTTGTTTTTACAGTTGGAATTTACCATGCAAGAAGCTGTGCAATGTTTACATGCGCTAGAAGAATATTGCCCTTCTAAAGATGACTACAGCAAGCTTTGTTTGCTCTTGACTTTACCTCGTCTGACCAATCACGCTGAATTTAAGGACTGGAATCCCAGCACTGCACGAGTTCACTGTTTTGAAGAGGCTTGTGTCATGGTTGCAGAATTTATCCCTGCTGACAGGAAACTAAGTGAGGCTGGTTTTAAAGCAAGTAACAATCGTTTATTTCAGCTTGTAATGAAGGGCCTGCTTTACGAATGCTGTGTTGAATTTTGTCAGAGCAAAGCAACTGGAGAAGAAATTACAGAAAGTGAAGTACTTCTTGGCATCGACCTTTTATGTGGCAATGGGTGTGATGATTTGGATCTGAGTTTATTATCGTGGCTTCAGAATCTTCCTTCTTCTGTGTTCTCTTGTGCTTTTGAACAGAAAATGCTTAATATTCATGTTGACAAACTTCTAAAACCTACAAAAGCTGCATATGCTGATCTTTTGACACCTCTGATCAGTAAACTCTCTCCCTATCCATCATCCCCCATGAGAAGGCCTCAGTCAGCTGATGCCTATATGACCCGCTCTCTGAATCCTGCGTTAGATGGCCTCACTTGTGGACTAACCAGTCATGATAAGAGAATCTCAGACCTTGGGAACAAAACTTCTCCTATGTCACACTCCTTTGCCAACTTCCATTATCCAGGAGTACAGAACCTTAGTAGAAGTCTCATGCTTGAAAATACAGAATGTCACAGTATTTATGAAGAATCCCCTGAGCGGTAAGCATTTGCTTATAAAAATTGAGAAATCACTGTATGTGTGAGACAATCTGACTGTAACATGTATATGTGTGTGTATGTATGTATATATATACATATGTGTGTGTTCTTTATGTTTAAGTCCCTTTAAAGTTAGTCCTTCAAACTTCAGAAACTATTTTAAAATTTAGGTAATTAAAATTATGTGGATTATTTTTTCCAGTACTGAGGTTTGAACTGAGCTCCTCATGCCTCCTTGTCAGGCATTCTACCATTTGAGCCACATCCTCTCTCCCTCTCTGCATAAGGTGTTTCTTTTTGGGGGGAGGGGATAGTATGTCATTTTTGCCCAAGGCTGGCCCAGATCATCAACGTCCCAGGTAGCTGGGATGACAAGTGTGTGCCATAACCGCCTGGCATAGTTTTTGAGATGCAGTCTCATGTTTTACATGCCACATTTGCCTATGGGTGTGGAGCTAAAGTCTTACTTTTTTGCCTAGCTTGACCTTGAGCCACAGTCCTCTCAGCTTTTATACTCCTAAGTAGCTGGGATTTTCATCATGAGTCACTAGACATGAGAAGAAAATATTTTTTTGGGGGGGGGATCTGGTCGTGGGGCCTGAACTCTGGGCCTGGGCGCTGTCCCTCAGCTCAAGAAAATATTTTTAATCCTATATTATTCTTTCTCTGGTTATAAAGACAGTAGATGTGTTATGAAGAAAATTTGGAGAAAAATAAAATAACCAGCCAAAAGCAGGGCTGGAGGTATGGTTCTACTGGTAAAATGTCAGACTGGCAAGTGCAAGGCCCTGACTTCAATCCCTAGAACTAAAAAACAAAAAACAGTACTACAAAAAAAAATGAGGGCTGGGAAGGTGACTCAGTGTAGAGCGCTTGCCTTGCATGCATGAGGCCCTGGGTTCGATTCCTCAGCACCACATAAGCAAAAAGAAAAAAGCCGGAAGTGGTGCTGTGGTTCAAGT